TTTATTAGAATATTTAATTGGATCAAACCTAATCCATTAGACCAGATGAGACATCTCGGGCTGCGTAGGTTCAAATTCCAGCTTTGCCCATTAACTTTTAAACAACCTATTTTTCTCATCTGTTAAATGAGGACGCTAATAATTACAGTACTCATAGGAGTTAACATATGTTTATAAGGATGCCTATAAGAGGCAATCACTAAATAAGTATAAAATTAATGTTAAGGCCCACTCCATTTGGGCTTTTGGTGGGTTTTAGATGGAGATGAATTTCAACAGAGACCATAAAAGGCTTTCCCTTAGGCACTGTTAACCCTGCATGGTCCCATGGGGCCTACATGTTGCTCACAACCTCCTGTTGTTGGCCTCAGGAGCCCCCATTACCTCCTCAGTGCCTGTTGCCGGTCCCTATACTCTGGTGAGAGTTAAAAGTCTTGTGGTGACTGCAGTTCTTACAGGCAACTGTAGGAGAGGAGTCTGGGGAAAAATGAAGACTGGTACCAGCTGGCCATAGGCAAAGTATGGTTATATGAGCACCAGGTACTCGTCTACCAGGAAGCCCAAAAGTGCTGTCTCCCCTGTAGGGTTCCAGTCTTCTTCTGACTTGGAGAACAATGCATGCATAGCAGTAGTTGAGAAAAAGCTGTGGCAGGCTGGCTGGCGGCCAGCAGGTTGCTAGAAGCCAGCATAGACAATCTGGACTTCCTTGAACTGGCGTGTACAAGCCAGTCCTCCAGAGGCCCTGAGGGGATCATAGCAACTGGTGATGCCTGGAAGGCAGGACTTTTGGGGGCACTGCAACAGGGTCTTGGAAGCTCTCTGCTGTACCAAGCATTAACCTCATAGAGGCTAGGAATTGGAGGTGTCTATGACACCTGTGGGAATAGGCCTGGGTGGCAAAGGGCAGGCACGGATAAGGAGGAGGCTTGGAAAGCAAGTCCTTTAATATTATAACAACTTATTCAACTGGATAAGGTGTATGTTGACTGAAGATCAGCCCTGGGTTTAAGAACATGTCACTCGCTTGGCTAGGTTAGAACACCTTTCTGCTGTGCCTTTCTTCTACTTCTAAAAGTAATAGGCAAGTATCCCATAAGTTCAGGCCTACTAAGTAAGATGATAGCTTTTGCCATTTCTCACTTGACAAGGACATTTTTATTTATCATAGCGTGGAAAACAAGGAAATATACTCCACTGCATTCTTCTTTTTTCTCTGCTTTATGGTAAAGGTGGGAGCAGAATCTTAAATGTGTTTATTACGAACATGAAATTACCAGATTATTTGATGGTAAATAATTACCAATTAGTAATAAATGATGGTAAATAATTACCAATTAGTAATAAACATACTAGTTAAAAGGGTGTTTTTTTTCTTTTTTCTTGAGACAGGGCAAAATCTATTAAATATTGATTTCTCAGGCTCCCAGTCTCCCTGAGGATTCTGATCTGACCTACCCCACCTGACCTTTTCCTTCTCCCACTCTAGGATTGGGGCTTATGCTTTTGGGTTTTTGTTTCACAGAATGAGGAAGAAATTGGGAGGGAGAGAGGGAGGGAGAAACAAGTGAGTTTAGGCCAGAGGTTACAAACTCTAAATCCCACAGTGATAAGTGAAAGGGAATAATGTGGGCTGGGAGGAATAATAGGCACAGATGGGTGCTGTGGCCGAGTGGAGGCCACACGATTTTATCTCATCATTCATGGACCAGCTCCAGTTAATTATCATGAATGCCGGCCTACTGTTGCCAAATCTTTTAACTTTTCAAAGATCCAAATCTGGGATTTTGTGTGTATGTGTGTGTGTGTGAATCTTCTTGAGTTTGAAAACACGATGTGAACCAAACAAAGCACAGCTGGAGGCCACAGGTCTATTACCTCAACTAGGCCTGGGGGTAGGAGATTTTAATGGAATTGAGGGCAAAGTGGGAACAGCTGTGGTGTGTTTGTGATGAAAAGGCATGAGAGGAAAAAAGGCGGCTTTAAGGGTGTGTCTGTGGTGTTTCTTTAAGGTACTTAAGAAAACCTAGTGAAGGACAGTATTTTGAAACAATTTTAGGTTGCTGGAAAGAGTACTTTTGACAGAGAAAACATTCTAGCCTTGAATTATTTGGGTCATAGTTCTACAAGTAAGTGCCACATCACAAAAGAGGAACATTTCCCCCCCCAAGCTGCATAGAGGGTTATCCTGCCCTCCTACATTATATCTGAATTAATTTGTCTCTTCTTTGCCTTGTTAATTAATTTAAAAAAGCTTTCATTGTGTCACATAGCTAATTATTAGAGAAATGCAAATCAAAACCTCAATGAGGTATCACCTCACACCTGTCAGAATGGCCATCACTAAAAAGTCTACTGGGGCGCTTCCCTGGTGGCGCAGTGGTTGAGAGTCCCCTGCCGATTCAGGGGACGCGGGTTCGGGCCCTGGTCCAGGAGTATCCCACATGCCGCGGAGCGGCTGGGCCCGTGAGCCATGGCCGCTGAGCCTGCGCGTCCGGAGCCTGTGCTCCGCAAGGGGAGAGGCCACAAAAGTGAGAGGCCCGCGTACCGAAAAAAAAAAAAAAAAAAAAAAAAGTCTACAAACAGCAAACGTTGGAGAGGACGTGGAGAAAAGGGAACGCTTGTACACTGTCGGTGGGAATGTAAATTGGTGTAGCCACTCTGAAAGACAGTATGGAGTTTCCTTAAAAAACTAAAAATAGAACCACCATATGACCCAGCAATCCCACTCCTGGGTATATATCTGAAAAAATTGATAACACTAATTCAAAAAGATACATGCACCCCAAATGTTCATAGCAGCACTATTTATAATAGCCAAGACATGGAAGAAATCCCAGTGCCTATCAACAAATGACTGGATTAAGAAGTTGTGGTATATATACAGTGGAATATTACTCAGCCATAAAAAAGAATAAGATACTGCCATTTGCAGCAACGTGATTGGACCTAGAGTTCTATGCTTAGTGGAATAAGTTGGACAAAGACAAATACTGTATCATATCGCTTATATGTGGAATCTAAAATATGATACAAATGAATGTACTTACAAGACAGCAAAAGACTCACAGACATAGAAAACAAACTTATGGTTACCAAAGGGGAGAAGGAGGTGGGGAGGGACAAATGAGAATTACAGTATTAACAGGTATGAACTACTATACCTAAAATAGATAAGCAACAAGGATTTACTGTACGGCACAGGGACTTATACCCAATATTTTATAATAACCTATAATCTGCAAAAATACTTAATCATTATACTGTACACCTGAAACACAATATTGTAAATCTACTTCAATTAGCAAAAAAAAAAGACTTTTATTGTGATTCCTGCTACCAGACAGATGTCTTAATCCCTTGTGGTTTAAAGACTTCCTTTAGGAAGTATAACACAGATGTTAATCTTAAAAAATTATTAAAGAAAAACTCTCATGATTTTGGCTATATTGCTCCAAATCTGTATTATTATCAAAGGAAGAGTAAATAGAACGTGACGACACTATTGGTAGAAGAAGTAGGTTTCAGTCAAGTGAGAATATGAGTCTGGAAAACCTTCAGTACAAAAGTAATTCTTCCACCAGTCACACGTTTCTACCGCTTGAAAACTAACCTCTTCGACATCGGAGTCGGTGACATTGTCTAAACAGTCTTAGGGGTGATTTTTACCTGTTAGTGGTCGCTGCCACGGAGCTCTTTCTCCTTGAACACGTTAGCGGCGACTGGATGAGCTCACGCTTCTCAAGCTTTAACGTGCCCAGGAAATCAGCTAGGGGAATGCTGTAAATTGGCCTGGGTGGAGCCTGAGGATTTGCATTTTGAACAAGCTCCCAGGTGAAGCTGCGCACAATCTAAGCAGCAAGGAGCTAAAGGATGAATAACGATAGAGAGTAGGGCTTGTGGACGTCGAGGATGTCTGTTTTCACGGCCTGCACGGCACTGATTTCTCTCTCTTCTGGCAGTAGCAGCCTGACTTGACTTTCGAGGAAATAGTTTCTCTCCATGGTTAGTTTATGGAGTTCAGACGAGGCCACTTCTCCCTTTACTCTCCACCTACCCCAACCACCCGCAATAGAGTTAGGTCTGTGACCCACCCTCGCCAATCAGCATAAGTGAGCAGGTGACCCATGTAATGCAATGATTTTCAGAGCCTGGATTTTGGCTAGTGCTGTCGGGAAAGAGGCTTCCTTTGGGAGGCTGCGAAAGCTGGAGCTCCCAGTAATCATAGGGAGAGAGGTGCCTGCCTGAGGATGAAGACAACATAGAGGAAGCAGAACGAAAATTTGGAAAAAGAAAAATTCCTGATGACATCTTTTGAGAGCCTAGATCCAGAGTTGAAAAAAGAAAGAGTCTTTTTTATTTTATAATTTTTAAAAAACATATTTCTTTTATTTATTTATTTTTGGCTGCATTGGGTCTTCATTGCTGCACGCAGGCCCCCCTCCAGCTGCCGCGAGCGGTGGCCTCTCCCACCGCAGAGCACAGGCTCCAGGTGCGCGGGCTTCAGCAGTCGTAGCACACCGGCTCAGTGCTCGTGCCTCGTGGGCTCCAGAGCGCAGGCTCAGTAGTCGTGGCGCAGGGGCCCAGTTGCTCCGCGGCACGTGGGATCTTCCCGGACCAGGGCTCAAACCTGTGGCCCCTGCATTGGCAGGCGGGCTCCCGACCACTGCGCCACCAGGGAAGCCCCGAGAAAGAGTCTAAATGACATTTTTTGAGTGCCTGGATACATCCTTGCCTGAGGCAGATACTCCTGCCTAGTTGGATACTTGAGCCAATAAATTTGCTTTTATGCTTAGGCCAATTCGAGTTTCTGTCACTTGCAACAGATAGCATCCTGCTAATACAGTAGTGATAGGGCCTGACACATAGTAGGCATTCAGCAGATAACTGTAGCCTTCTCTTCATAATTTTTCTTTGGTTGGATTGAGCAATTTATATTAGATTAGATTAGATCATATTATATATTATGTTTTTTTTCCAGAGAAGAAGAAACAATCTGAAACTATCAGTTAGGTGACAAGCAACTTTATTTTGCAAAACAATCACTATACAGCAACAAATACATTTGCAAATTTTGCTTGAAAAACATGAACTAACTACAACCAGCCATTGAAGAAATGCCTTTCTATGGTAACAGGCTCTAGAATTATCAGAAGAAAGAAACCCCCCACAGATTTGTAGCGGCATGTTGGAACCTTGGAATCCCAGCATACAGAGTATACTTTTTGTTGATTTTTTTTTCTTTTTGCTAAAGTTGAAGTAGATCTTTCATGATTGACATTTTAGGAGTCTAAAAATAAGCTTTTTCCTGCTAGGGACTTGGCCTCAACCTACATACCCAGGCTAAAAATCCTAGGTGTTAAAAAACAAACATCAATGCTAATTTTAGCACATCAGTCTTTGAAGGAATGTCTAGAATTTGCCTTTCCAAGCCATGGATCTATCTTTTCTGGCCACTTAGACCATGAATAGTTTATTTTCCTGCTTTCTGTGGCATGAAAAATAGGAGAAAATACTATACTTGCAGCTATGTCAGAATCAACCACATTGAGATTATTTCTTTAATAATATTGACATATTTTGGCTGATGATCCCATTTCCTGCTCTATAACTATATGAGTGTGTGGAGAAGGTCAGCTACCATCAAGTACATTTTTCCATTTAACCAAGTTCTCTCTTCAGCCTTCTTCAGCTATACCTAGTTAGTGTTACACAGGTGTCTTGCTTGTGGGTGGGATTTTAGCCCATCACCCTGCTGGAACTCAGCAGGAGAATCCAGAGAGAGTTGGTTCCTAAATGAACATGGCCTTTGAGACTCATCATGAACTCGGATCTCTCCTGCATCATTGTAAAGTACCCAATTATTGGTTGCAGGTGACCCAGAGAGAGTGAGTGGGCCTTTTAACTCTTCACAGCTCTGGATTACTTATGTTTCCTTAAACAGGTTCTCAAAGGCTAAAGCCAGAGAGAAACTGGCATTAATAGATCTAGAATTGGAACTATGAAGCCTTAATTTCTAGATCAGCGTATGGATGTCCCCACAAGAGTGGTGTTCAAAAAGCTTAATTTGTGTCGTTAATCTTAAGTGTAAAGGCAAGATGGGTTCCACCCCTTATCCCCATAAGAAGACATGTAGCCTGTGTTTCTTTCTTCTACTTGTACAAATTATCAGGTTCATTTTGTTAACTTTTTATAAAGAATTTGTATTTCCATACAAAGCAAGGGCATTTATTCATTATAATTTTGCTGTGATTTGAAGTAAACATTTGTTTTAATGCCAAATCTTATAACTTGGTACTTTATATAATCTTTATTTTAGACGTGTATTTGTAAGAAACAATTTTGATATGTAGGTCATGTTTACTTATTCTTAATGCTTATAAAAAATTTAAACCAGGTTGAAAAAAAATACTTGTTTCAGAGGTTAAAACTGTTCTAACCAGCTGTTAACTTCAGCTTTAATCACTATCTAACACTACCAAACACATAAGAAAATACTGTTAAGTCTCCACACTCCTATTCTTTCTTCTCCTGTATTCTGGTGCATTTCAAGGGAAGCTGCTGAATAAAATGCCCAGATGGGACAAATCAAACCTCACAGCAATAATTAGGCAGAAAACAGACACATGCACAGTCCTAATCAGTCATTTCTAAATCGTTGTCCTATAAAATAACTGATCTATAAATAGTTTCAGAAACGTTTGCCTACGTAAAACCTCTTAGTTGAGAATGAATGGTGCACTTTTGCTCCTAGAGTTCCTTTTATGGAAGCCGCATTGGTTGTAATTTCCAATGGGTCACAAAATGGCACCCGCCTCTCTGTCTTTGCATCCCTTGGCTTCTTTCTTAGATGCTACTATACTAGCTTGTTGCCTCAGTCCATATTCATCATTTTTTCCTTTATATTCGAGAATTGATTTGGCTCAAAGGAATCAAACGCCTACTGGACCATTTGCCTTTAACTGTTCAGATCCAGCCTACCATCCCTGAGCAAGAAAAAGAACAGATAAAAATACTAGAAAGCATCCATCTAGCCTGGTAACCCACTGCCTTATTCAGGCTATTGACTATTTCATTGCTTATTCATAAATCTAAGATGAATGATTTGTAAAGTGAATTAATTGATTTGTGATTTCTAGACCGTATCTAAAGTCAGAATGGTATTATCTACTGATACATAATAGTGTTCCTTTACAGAGTACAATGTTGGAGTTATGAAAAAACTGATTTAGATATCTGCATCTCCAATATTTTATAGCTATAGCTTCTCAAAATCCTGTATTTTCCCCTTCTGATCAAGGGATCTTTGGGTATGGAGGTCAAACATTTTCTATCAGATAATTTAATAAACAGGTACTATTTGGAAGAATGGGATAACATGCCCCCAAATCCCACTGTTAGTTTCAACTTTAGCAAATGGAAAAAAAAAAGAAAAAGAAATCTTAAGAAGTCTGTTTCATGAATGATTACAGGAATAAAACCCAAACTATCCTGTGATTCAAAATAAGATAAATCCATAATCTTACACCAACAATCTGTAAACCCTTTTATGTATAACTGGACCCACCCCCACAAACTCCATGTTGGTGAAAGCAAAGAAAAACAAATTTTTTCTAGCATCACGGGAGAGACTTGTATCTGGCACTAAAACAGGGTTACAGCTTTGAGTTGTTACAGAAAGCAACTTCATGCTAAAACTTTTTGTCTTTTTCAACTTTTTTTTAATAGGGAAAGAACCCTGCTAACACCTACTTTCACATACCTAAAACTGCAACACCGAAGGGTGCAGGAGACACAGATGCTGTGAATAAGGAAGTATAATATTCAAGTATATGAGGAAGTATCACAAATGGCCACAGAGAAATATATATATATTTATATCTATAATACCGTATCAAACAGATGGAAAAGGGGTGTGAAACTGGTACTGTGTACACAAATCTAGCTGATCAACCAACGTTCTAATCAGACACGAGTCCACCCTAATGAAAGTGCTTCATTCCTAAGAGATGCACTTTATACCACTTCCTCAACCACAGCTCAAATGCGTCGTAACTATTTCTTAATTAGTTAAATAATTTATTGGATCGACTTATACTCTGATATAATTATCCAGGTCCCAAATGTTAATAACTTAATTGAATCTTTCTTCCCATTTATACAAAATAACGCTTTAAAAAAAACTTATTTCTTACATGCTCTTCCCTTCCTGCAATCAGACTCCTTGATTTAATTTAACCTGTAATAAGTTACAATGGGCAGCTTTTTATCTTTTCACCCAGCAACAAAATAGTGAAATGAGCAGCTTGGATTTTAACAAGGCCTTTCAGGATGTAGTGGATAGCCTTCAGGCACATGAAAGGTAGAAATGCAATTTTTAAAATAATATTACTCCATGCAAAACAGAGCAGAGCAAAAATAATTGTCCAATTGTACTCATGTAAAGCCAGTATCTTCCTTTTACAAATGGAAATCAAGTCAATTTCTGCATATACTATTCTTTTTTTAATATAAAATTGTAACAGTTACTACAGTTTGGGAATGAGATTATTTATTTTATGGTTTGTAAAGAATGAATATAACACCTGCTCAGAGCCCACTCCTGCCAAGAGCTCATGCCTAAATAGTATTACTTCAATGCTAAACGAGAAATATTCACAAGCCCTGCTTAGCGAGTGCGGCAGTGACATCCTCGGCCAGGGTGGCAAGCTGGGGGGATTCGAGCAGGTTGATGCTTCCAGAAGAGGAGACGTTGCTGAGTCGTCGGGGGGATGCCACGCTGGATCTGCCTGGGGACTGCGTAATGATCTCAGCCCCGTGGTCCACACGGGCCTTAGCATGCTCTCTGAAGTTCAACTTTTGGCTGTCAATCTGTTTAAGACAAGCATCAGTCCTCGTTAACTCAAACATCTTAACTGTCGCTTAGCTCTTTCTCTATATCCCAGAGCTGACGTTCATGTCACTTCTATTCAGCTCTACCATCCCTACTTCTAGAAATCCAGGCCTTCAATTTGGGACCCATTTTGATGAAGAGTATTTCAGAAGGATTTTTTAAAAAGGCAAGATCGGCTCAGGATCTTGTTTCTTACCTTGACATTACCACCTCCAGGTACGTGGTGAGCATTGTCAAGTGAACCAACTTTAGCTTGGGCCTTTTCTTTGAAATCCAGTTTCACACTCTCAATTTTCACACGCCCACCGCCTACGTAGGAGAGGAGAAAGGCTTTTAAATGCCTTGCTAAAATTAAATCTTGTATTTGTGGTGACTAGTTCCCCAAAATGATTATAGTAGGTAGACCATGGCAAACGACAAACTTAATGAACTCTACTATCCCTCCGACCATGGATGTGAAAGGAATCTTTTAGATTTCTAGACTATACCATTTTCCCCACACCATCTACGGTAGTGACATCCTTTTTGTACCATTACGTGGATTGCTCTACATGTTAATTCCTTTCTCCTCTACTCATGTCTAACCTAAAATATCAGAGGGTTTTTTCTTGTCTGTGTGATAAAAACTCTAAAAATAACACAATGAAAGTATCATATGTATCCTTTCTCAAACTTGGCACATTTAGTCTCTTATTTTTAAGGGAGCAAATTAAATTGCAATGAAGCTCTTCTTTATTTTTCTTAATGGTAATAGGTCACTTGTTCAAAGAACTATTAGGCTAGCAATGGAGTGCATGTGGGTAATATTACCATTTGTCAATTTTCAGCATTGATAGCTTGACTGATGAAACTGGAGTCAGGGGCTAAGTTGCTTAAGAGCTTCCATTTTAATTAGCAGATGGAGTGATAGGAAGAGACTCTTAGGAGATCCCATTCTTTTCCAGATGCCATAGGACCAATGTGACTCTGACTTTGATCTGATAATACTGAGACGGAGTTTTGACCATGCCATTTCCTTAAATGCTAATTAGTCTGAAACTCGAGGATCTGCTGATAGATGAGAGTGCCATGAGCCACCCTTCTGTGGCACTCCCCATTTCTGCACACCTTTCTCAGGCTTATGAATGTAAGGAGTTCCACACTGAGTTGTCTTTTAGCCTGTTCTTGAGCCTGTCTGCTGATGTCTTTGACCTGGAAGGAAGCTGGATTAGATACCTTTACCTGTCTCCACCTAAGAGATTAGCTTTGACTTGCATTATTAACTTGGTTTTGGCTCTATGCATTTTTTTGCAAGGCCAGTGGTAAGCCATGTGACCCTCTACTATCATTGCATCTCTCTTGGGGTTTTGATTTGGGAAGAATACCTGAGGGACTCTATGGAAACATGGAAGAGATTTTTCAATTTTGGACTCTTGCTGCTTATTTATCTCTGTAGACGAGAGAAAGGTCTGTTAAAACTTTACAGGTCTCTTAGGCCTGTGGTGTTTTTCTCATGTGATACCTGGACATTTATATTAACACCCAATTACCTGGCCAGGGGCCCCTTGAAATTGTATGGTGTTACTGGATTAAATTTTGAAGATTCATTCATTCTCCTCCTGAATGCTTAGGATGTACATGATGTTATTTAACTCATGCTTACAGAAGACATGTAGCTGTCCTTCCCTCAAAAGATGCATAACTGCAGGAGTGTTATCCTTCCAACATTTTACTTGGCCCCATGGGTCTCACTTGTTGGTTGTTACAGGATTAGTGTGATTCATAAAACATAATTATATGGGTTAGAGTCTAGAAGATGTTGAGCTTTCAGCTACATGAGATCAACTTTCTTAGGATCTTACTTTTCTATTTTTTGGTGGCCTCTGCTAGAAATTGTCTTTTCAAGTTTTCTTTTATGGTTATATGTTGTGTCTATGTAACCTTGTTGAAATTTTTTTGAACTGTATTTTGAGAGAGAGAGAGAAAAAAATAACAATGTAACATTGACCCAAAATATACTCAGAAAAGGAAGACTGAGAAGTCTATTTCTGTTGAAGCCCTACTAGGTATTTTTACGTAACCCTTAGAGAAGCCCATTTGAATTCAGACATCTCTGCCTTTGGTTCTGAAAAATTCTGGCCCCATCAGGAGCAGTAACTGCAGAAGACTATAATCCCCATCAAGCTTCATATGTCCCGAAGTGAAGTCCACAAGACCGGATATTTCAATTTGTGGCTCCAGGTATCAAATTGTTTCCTTTATTTTCTCCTTAGATATTCCACAATCCAAAGTAACTTTGTGAAAAGCTTGCTATGACAAGGATCATTGTGCTAATACATCTTTATGAACTTAGTCACCTGGTTCATTTATTACGAAGTAAGAGCTAGATTTAGAAAAAGGTGGGAGTCCATGACGATAGCCTTTTATGACCAGTAAAACATACACAGAATATTTTCTTATCTATATAAGATTTTTCTGTGCATCAAGACCCCAGGTGAATTTAACTAAATGTATACTTACTGTCTGGAATGAAAGAATCCAATATTGTCTTTTGTATTCTGGAAGAAAGTAGGCAGTGTAGCCAAATACTTCTATCATACTGTTGACACAGTACAAAGTCAACTAAATGTTTGTAGACTTAAGTAATAGATGGGGAGTTGTGAAGATACCCACATGGGAACATATCCCTGCTGTTTCCTAAATGACAGAGAGCTAATACCGGGGTAGCAATTCTGAAACCAGGAATGGAGATTCCTTACTCGTAGTTTCTAACTCCTTGACTTGCCTTATGAACACCCTTTGCCAAAGAGAAGCCCAATTTCTAGATATGTTTCCAGTTCGTTTATCTATTTTGAAACATATCCTATCTACCTTTGTTTTTCAACTAATAAATTCTTCTTAATAATCTCCTGGTCAGAAATCTCATTGGGCTCAATCATTCTTATACCTTGTTTTGATAACATTTGAGACAGTGATTAATGGGAATAACCTATTACCTGGTTTAATTAAGATGCCAAGCATAGATGGTTAAAACCAGTTGCTTCCTCTTGTCCTTCAATGGTATATATAAATTGTGTCAAAATATTCTCAAGAAAATTTACAAATTTGACAGTTGTCCATTATTTACATATGCATGGAGGTGGAGTTTAGCAAAAACATAATACATGATACTCAGAAAAAGTGACTCATAATACATTAGAGGGAATTAAAGAGGGAAAAATCCCCAGCAAGATGAGTAGAAATTCTACCTTAGAGCATCAGTCTTATGAGATATTCTAGAAAAACAAGAAGTCCATGGTCAAATGAGTTGGGGGAGACATTGCATTCTGAGGATTCACAATACTTATAGACCTGGATCTGAGAAATTCAGCAGAAAAGTTAATTTTTTCAGCTTTGCTTAAGCACAATCCTTTTTTCACATAATGTAGAAAAACAATTTCTTGAAAAATCTTTGGAAATGCTTCTTTCAGTGTATGTATTATGTATAAATACATGGCCCAATGTATTTTATAGACTATATATTTCCAACGAGCTCCAACATGCATGTTGCGTACATCGAGATAAACGCATCTCATGTACCTTTTAATTTTTATTTATTTATTTAATTTTATTTTTTTGTCTTTTTCTCTCTTTTTTTTTTTGTACCTTTTAATTTTTCACATGTCCTATGATACATGGCCTGTGTGTGGTAACTAAGTTTACTTGTCCAAGTGAAGATGCCTTGAAATTTCTAATGTAAATTTCTATTAATAAAAGCATGACGTATCAGGATTTGGAAAAGTCCTTCCAATTAGATATTTCACAGCAACACAAATTTCGCTTGTCAATTTCTTGAATCCCATCTAATATCTCCCAGGCTACTAAAAAGAACGGATTTACCTGGCCTGTGGCGGATGTTTTTCAGAGAGCCGCATTTGGATGTCACGTGGCTTAGGTCTATCTTCTTGGTGACAATCTGTACCTGTGTGAACCACATAAAATGTGCTTAAAGTAGTTTAGACATAAACAACCCCCAAGATCATACGTCAAATCTAGAAACATATCCAAACTCACAACATACAACAACATATACATACAAATGGGAAAACACAATCTTCCATAGATCCTCCCACATGTTTGGTTGGAAAGAAAAACCAAAGTGAAGGAAAATCCTAGAATAGAAGATTTTATTAGCAGAAAACAGATCACGCCCCAAGGGGATAGAAACACCTGGATGCATAAGGCAAGCTTCCACCCAGAGAACGAAGCCACACCGTGTCAAACCTTTCCATAAGCAAAGAGCCAAGTGAAGAGAGAAATTATGCTTTAAAAAGTGATTTTTACATAAAAGTGACCAACTTTGCTCATAGAAACAAGAAGCCCAACACTGCTTTAAGATAACAAGAAGAAGAAAGCTCTAAACATGCTTTTCTAAAATACTATTGTCATGTCTTGGCTAAATGGAATTTTTATTGCACACCAAATTATCAATATAAAATGACAGCATTTTTTCTTCTTTGTGTCTTGTTGAAATTATTTCATCTCCCAATATTTGAAACAGTGCTTTCCAAGTGTGGTTCCTGGTCCATTTGCATCAGAAATACATGGGAATTACTTACTTGAACACTGGAAATGGCGTCAGGGAATCTGCACATTTGAACAAGTGATTCTTCTCTAGGGGGAAATTTCAGACTACTGTTTTGGAGGTTGGAAGCTCCCTTACTTACTTTAGAGATCATTAGTTATCTCAATTTATCCTTTTCCATGTAGGTGTTTTGACCGGCAGCACCCATAGTAGAGGGCAGCTGGGTCTATCCTCTGATACCCTCAAATTATTTCCTAGGACCAAGATTGCTTCTGTGAAAGTACCACATGGTGTGAGCTTACAGTCAGGGCAACAGGAAGGAGGGCAACCTTGTCAGTGTAAATGTTGAGCCTGAAGCTTAGCCCTGCACCCTGGAAAGAGCCCAGAAAACCTTGCTGTGGTCCTCCCACATGGCATATTTTCACACCCAGTGGAGCTACTTTGAACATCAGGTGACAGCTCTTGCTAGAAGGCACTTGCTTGTCTCTCCTTTCACTGCTTGACTCCGTCTCTGCCCAGTTGAGGAGCAAGGAACCAAGAGTTATTAGATAGGTGAGAATTCCAGATTTGATAATCTATAAATTACCTGAGTCACAGACGGTCAGAATCTGAAGTTTAGGTGACAGGATCTGTAGTATAGAGAGTCACCCAGTTCGCCTTTTTTGTTATTCTAATTTTACAAAGAACCATGCTTTCTTTAGCTTGAGTTTGCCTGTTTCAACTCTTCCTCAACTACATTTGAGAAACACGGATTCATCTTTCCCTTTCTCTCATAGGATATTATTTTCACTCAATTTAAGAGACAGGAAAAAATTCCATCAAGACAGAGTATATTGGGACTTGAATCTTTTCACTGAATTACAGATGAGCCATGCTTCACCAGTTTTGTATTATTCCAAATGATATCCCAACTCTCATGAATAATGAAGCACAAAATATTGACATTATACAGTTTGGGTACTTTCAAGTACATCAGACTTTGCCTCAAGAGTAACTTAAATGGAGCTAGAAAAGTGTGTGCACAGCTGACTTTTACAGGGGAGTAGAGACAGCATGAGAAAATACCTTGAAGCCAAAGGCCAGCAAACAAATTGGCAAGTGAGGTGGGTTTTCCATCTCCCCGAAAACCATGGTGTACCCCATTATAAAAGCAAGAATTCGCCAGTGATCTTAGAGGGAAGGATGGGAAGGCCATCACCAAAAATGCAAGGTTGACAAGCTCCCAAACCAGGGGGACGTGTGGAGCAGCAGCAAGAAGGGGGGAGTGTGTTGGGAGGGAGGCAGGAAAGGAGACCAAGTGCCTGCTGTGCAGATGGCTCCACACAATCAGGACGGCTCCTAACAGAAGCTTCTACTTACATTTCCGCCCCCAGCAGAATGTTTGATGTTATCCTTGGAACCACATCTGGACTGAACCTTGCTAAAATCAATCTTCTGGTTTAAAATCCTAACCTAAAAGGAATTGGAAGTAACTTCACTGTGCATTTTCCTTTCAATATGCTGGGTATAGGGAACCAGAAATGGGCAGCACCAGAGGCTCCAAACTCCCTTCCACCTACGTAATCATTTAAGAGAAAAAACTAACACTGAAACTGAAGAGCAGATCTATCATATGAATATGAGCCCCTTTTCTCCTGCACCCCGCCCCGCCAAGGGCCAAATGCTTGAGAGCCTTAGATATCCCAGCCGTAGGCTGCTATAATCTGGAAACAATATAGGAAAAGAAAAATAAAACTTGAATTATCTGTGAGGAGGATGCTTCTGATATTGTGGGCAACGCTGGGACTCAGGTCCACTCTCTGGAAGGGCCAAGATTGTAGTTCAGCCCAGGATCCTGAAGGATACACCAGTGCCCTCTCCTCCCCCTTAATCCCTAAAGTGTCACCCATCACAATGGTGAATCACCTTGTACACTTGACTTGACTATGATTGGTCCACATAGAACAGGTGAGGTTCACATTGGTCTGGCTGAATGCTACAGGTGAGGGTTCTCATTCATCCAGGGGAAGAAGCCCTGGTTTCCCAAGACGGTCAACAAGGAGGCTCTGGGCCTCCTCTCCTGAAAGGATTTATGATTCCCTTGCTGGTTTGGCTTGGTAGCCTTTTGAAAGGCCTCTCTCTGACAACTGCTCATAAATAGCCATTATTCTTGGATTTGGTGTGAAAGCATTATTTCCGTTTTTAGAGGGGAGAAAACCAAGGACCATTAGCTAGCTGACTTGTACTGAGTCATGAACAGGTAGTCCAAGCCTTGGTTGGGCCCAACAGATATGAGGTTAGGTGTTCTATTTCTATTTTCAGCAAGTCCAGTACTCACCTTGAAGGCAATAGTAAATCCAGGTAATAGCAACTCCAGATCTGGAAAGATATTACTCTGGTGTAATGTAATGTGCAAAGTAATAACTCTTGTAGCTTCGTTCATGTGTTTTTGAATTGTGCGTGTTTTGGAGGGCCAACAAGCAATGTAAGAATGGAAGGAGAGGTTTATTTTTGTTTGTTTTATCTTACTTTGGCTACAACTACCCCCCAATAGCTAAAGGGAAATCACGTCTTTAGTGCTTTAGCGGACAATTTATCCTCTTATATATGAAAAAAAAAAGCTTAATAAAATTACCCTAGATATACAGCTGTCTCTAAGAATGGTATCACATCTCGTGGTATTCACAAAAAAGAGTAAAATATTCAAGAGCACGTTGAATCCTGACTAGTTTTAACTAGACAAAGCTTAAATTGCAGCATCTGCCTAACATTGACAAGATAGCTCGTTCCTTTCAGGGAAGTATCATCCACAGCTCTCATCGGCAGCCCGAGGGAAGGGCCTCTCCTCAAAATCTGAATTCAGAAGACATGATGATTGGGCCACTCTCTAGGGCATAATACAAATTCCTATTAAAAAAAGGGGGGCTATCACAGAGTCTGTATCTAGCCACATGTGTAGTTGTACTGTAAGAGTTTCACATAAATTGTAGATGCAGATAATGAAGTCAATAAAGGCCACTACATTTCAAACCTCGCAGGTAAGTTATTTTTAGAAAGCAAATAATTTTGATTTGTTATTTCTAATAATGATACTTTAAATTATTCTCCATAAGGATCTATTTATTTTGGCAATGAAACAGAATTCATCTAAGCCATTTTTCTAATCCTTGGGGATATACAGAGTCTCATATTTCATTTACAAATTTTAATTTAGAGATCATAAGAGTACCAATCAAGTGACTCATTACCAAGCGACCAAAAGCCAAAAGTTAAATCTGACTCATCTGTTGCAAAAATGGAAATTCCAAATTCAGTTATATAAATTTGTTTGACTCTAACTTTTAATCAATTGTTTGACAATTTTTATGATTTCGAAAACAAATGATTCAAACCCAAAGGGGACACATTGCCTGCATTATTTAGAGATGATTTAAATCTTAAATTCTAAAACTTCAAGGCCAACTTCAAAGTCGATTTTCCCGAGAATCATAGATTTTCTAGCGGAAAAAACTAGCTGGCCTTTTTTTTTTTTTGGTACGCGGGCCTCTCACTGTTGTGGCCTCTCCCGTTGCGGAGCACAGGCTCCGGACGCGCAGGCCCAGCGGCCATGGCTCAGGGGCCCAGCCGCTCCGCGGCATGTGGGATCTTCCCAGACTGGAGCACGAACCCGTGTCCCCTGAATCGGCAGGCGGACTCTCAACCACTGCGCCACCAGGGAAGCCCTAGCTGGCCTTTTTTGATGGTAGACTATATTAACCCATGTTTGCTCAATTTGACATGCATTAATAACACATTCTTTACATATTTCCATAATTGAAAAAACTTCATGGTACATATATATATATATATATATATATATATATATTTTTTTTTTTTTAAGATGTTGGGGGTAGGAGTTTTTATTAATTAATTAATTAATTTTTGCTGTGTTGGGTCTTTGTTTCTATGCGAGGGCTTTCTCTAGTTGTGGCAAGCGGGGTCCACTCTTCATCGTGGTGCGCGGGCCTCTCACTACCGTGGCCTCTCGTTGTGGAGCACAGGCTCCAGACCTGCAGGCTCACGCACAGGCTCACGCACAGGCTCCAGACGCGTGAGTTGTGGCTCACTGGCCTAGCTGCTCCGCGGCATGTGGGATCCTCCCAGACCAGGGCTCAAACCCGTGTCCCCTGCATTAGTTGGCAGATTCTCAACCACTGCGCCACCAGGGAAGCCCCATGGTATATTGCTTTTGTCTAAAATGAGGCAAAGTATGACATTCATTTTGCTTAATGGTTGAGTGGACAGAAATAAAACCACTCTGGGCAGTGAATGTTTGATGTTCAGTAAGTTTTACACTCTAGCTTGACAACTTGTATCTGAGCCATGTGACTCACATTTATGCCTTAGCAAAATTACAAAATACTTCATGCCAAATATCT